ACACAGGGTCGTTAAGAGTTGGAACCTACTTAAAGGCACTTAACCTTGTGGTGTTGGGGTGCTGGATTCAGAATGATACCCACCCTAGAAGGTAAAATAAAGTGCCCCATAAGATTTTCTGGGCTGAAATCTTTACAGAAGTAGATTGCCATGTCTTGTCTCCTGCTAGGTCAGTTGTTGAGTTCGAACTCAACAGAGTTGAGCATTTACAGCGTTGCGCTACCAAGAATTTTTAGGTCGTGCAAACTGTGGAATGCTAACTTAACAGTTCGAGATTCCAGTGTAACCAGATATGCCTAGGAAGACCTAGTGGTCTACTGCCCTTAAACAAGCCATTGAGAACACTATAGGAGAAAAGTTCTACTCGAGATACATGCAGGGGTTATCAAGTGGACCTTGCCAGAATCCCTGCCCAAACCACATAGGTGACGCGAAAGACCAAACCTCAGGCACTGTGGAGAGTAAAGAATAAAGTGTCGTTGAGTCAGTTCCGATTCATGACGACCCTATAAAGGGTTTCTGAGGGTTTGAACGCCGACCTTGCGGTCAGCAATCTAGTGCAGAGTAAAGTGCAGTCCTCTTCACCCTTGGCAATCCAAAGCAGTGATACGACAAGGCTGTTTTCAGTTCACCTAAAATCAACCAGGCCGGAGGACCTAAAATCCTTTCCCCAGCTCGAAGAGATCAGAAAAACAAACAAGAGTTCCCTTTCTCTCCCACCAAAGCCTTAGCAGCCGGTGGAGATGGAAGCACCGCAATACTAACCTCGGTCCTGATTGAGAAGACGTGAAACCAGCTTTGCAAGGCGTCCCCTTTGTGGCCCACAGTTTGTAATTGCGTACGAGAGGAAGGAGAACTCCGGTTGCGTCTGTGGGTCTGGTTGCTAAGAAACTAGAGAGGAAGAGCCAGAGAGGAAAGTTCCGTTTGGGAAAGGCGGGGATGTCATACTATTGGTAGAGAGTAAACGGAGGGGGCTGGCTCTAGGGCCTTTTCCTTTTTCTCTATTACATGGAGTCGGAGTCAATCACTCAGGGCTTGGCGGGGGTGGGGGTGGGGGGCTGTGTAAGAGACTGGTGAGAGCGTCATTAGCAACGGAATCGCTGCAGTGCAGATTTCGGTTGGGCAGAGCATCGGGGGAGTGAGGAGCCACCGGGGTCCCAACCTTGGGCGTCGGTTGGGGTCATGGTGAGTGCGAAGCATTAACATTCTGCTGAAACTGGGACTGAAATTTCTCCCCCGAGCAAGAAAGGGATTTTTTTTTTTTTTTTAAGTTTATGAAATGTATTATTCGTCCACAGGTATCATTAGTAAACTTTTCGCACTTTGCCAAAGAGAAACGCTCCTGGTGTTTCACTGTAGGATAATTACTGAACCGCTAACCCTAAAGTCGGCAGTTACAATCCACCAGCCGCTGTTTGGAAACCCTATACGGGGTCGTTGAGTCGAAATCGTCTCAACACCGCATAATGACTCAACACCACATAATAACAACAGGGAGAGAAGGATGATTCTTAAATTCATTTCCCCAACTTCGCCTCCCTTTCGTATTCCCCATGATTTCCTAGGTCTTTTAAGCTAACTGGCTTCTACTTGGGAGAAGCGGTCTGGTGGCAGTCATGGATCGCTGTTCATTTCTTTGAAAGATCTGCCCCAGGCTCTCTGAAGCAGTATGCAAAGGACTTGCAAAGCAGATTTCTTCTTATTGTGCCCTTTTCTTGGTTGGAGTTCACCTGCCCTTATAATGAAACCAAGATTCATCATTCAGCAGTCTAGAGTTTCCGTTTTCCACGTAATTTCTCTGAAATGTTAACGCCAAATTAAGTTATGAGAGAGATGTAGACCATGTCACCTCTAAATTATTTTCGAGCATCCCTAGAATGTTCAGTGGGCTCCTTGCTTTTTATAATGTAAAAACCCTTGATTATATAGTTTTTGCACCTTTAGACTTAGCAACAACAGACTTAACCTAATTTATATATCTAGTGATAGGAAGCATACTGGATAACCGGTGACATGTGACACTGTCGGATAAGCACTGGGGACTGCTGACCCAAGGTCGATGGTTCAAATCCACCAAGCGCTCCTCAGAAACCCTATACAGCGTTACTATGAGTCAGAACTGACAACACTTAACAACAACAATTGTCAATGTTGAATAAATTGGCCTATATTTATATAAGACTTTTCACTTTTGGAGGTATAGGGAATAAAACCCAGAAGCCAATGAAATGGTTTTAGAAATCTCTCAACTGTTTGCATCTCTGAAGATGTAATTATTAAGTTAAATCAGCTGTGTTTGTTAGGACTTTAAAACAAAAGATTAACAGTACCATGTTTCACATTTCTAGATATTTAGAAAAGATTTTTATATTATTGTGTTCCTGCACCCACTAGGTAAAGAAATAAAGTATAAATTTTTCCCGAGTTTGGGGATTAATGCCTACAACACATATTGTTGTTGTTGCTGTTGTTAAATATAGTCATGTTAATTCCAACTCACAGCAACCTTGTATAGGGGTTCTGAGGCTTTAAATCTTTATGGGAGCAAAAAGCCTCATCTTTGTCCTATCGATTGGCTCGTGGACTTGAACTGCCTACCTTTTCATTCACAGTCCAGTGCTTGTCCTACAGAACCACTGCACTTCTCACAACACATATATTGCTGTTAAGTGCTGTCGAGTCGGTTCTGACCCATAGCGACCCTGTGCAGGGTTTCCGAGGAGCATCTGGTGAGTTTGAACTGCTGATCTTGCAGTTCAAACAAACCTTGTGGTCTAATATTTATCTTACAGTGCCACACGAGACCTCTAAAATAAAAGTGGGAATAGTTAAGGATGAGACAGCCTCATCATTTGAAAGAAAAATAATAACTTGGTGGAATGTCAGTAAATGTCAGTTCAATTTGATCCAAAGCAACACTGCTCAAGAAACACTCCTGAGGACCAGTTATTTGTCCACTCTTTAGGGTTTCAGACATTACGAAGTAAATGATTCTGCTGTCAAGTAGCTGCTGTCACAGTCTAGTGGGTGAAAGAAGAAGTAAATAGACCATTACAGTACAGAGTGAAAAGCGCTCATGCAGGAGTAGCCCAGAATATTTATAAGAGCATTCATGAAGGAAACCCAACCTAAATCACCCAGGAGAAGAGGCAGGAGAAGGGAGAGCTTTCTGTAGAAGGTGATGTTTGCCCTCCTTACCCAGGTAAAAGTAGGGGAGAGGGCTTTCTTGGCATAGGGTACAAAGGTCACAAAGATTGTGGATAAATTTTATTTTTTATTGTGAACTGATTGAAGGTTTACAGACAAGATCATCAGTTTTACATTCAACAAATCATACACTTTGTTTCATCTCAATGATTTCAATCCCCTCCATGGAACAATAGCCATCCTCTTTCTTCCTGTGGCTCCTATTTCCCTTCCACCCACCTTCCCATCCTTTCTCACCATTGTCTTTAGGAGCATGCTGCCCCTTTGATTTTGAAAGGTTGACCATCCCATCATTTATAGTGAGTATGCCTTATTAGTGTTGTTGCTTCTCCTATATACTTGTGTACTGCTTGGCTGAAAGTTGTTCCCTCTATGTACCTATCTACTGCTTAGCTGAAAGAAGGTGTGTTCCTTTCCAGACCTAAAGGGTGGCTGAAGGCCACAGTCTCAGGTTCCTCCAGGTTCTTTCTGACTAATAAGCCTGGCCTTTAAAAAAAAATAAATTTGAGTTTTGTTCCACACATTATGCTGCTCTATCCAGGACCTTCTAATGTGATCCCATTCAGGGCAGTTGGTAGTAGTAGCTGGGCACCATCTAGGTCTTCTGGTCAGATGATAGATTATTGCTGTGAAGCAGTTGACAACCAGTGAATAATTTATGCTGGAGAATAAACATGTACAGAGTTACATTTTTAAAAAGCAATTCTGAAGGGAAGAATTGGGAAGCTGAAGACTGGAGTCAGAGAGAATAGTTAGGAAACTTGCAGCCATCCAGGTAGGAAATGGCAGAACTACAGCAATTTCAGTAAGGATGGAATGGAGGGGACAGATTCAAAACCTCTGTAAGAGGTAGATATAAAATAAATAAAATAAGCTGGTTGGAATTTGGTTGTTGGATGAGGAAAGGGGAAGACTTAAGAATGACCTCTAGACTTCTTTCTCAGATAATCGGTGTCTGTTCTGGTAGTGCATCAACAAAAGTACACAGACCTTAAAGATGCTCAAATAGTCAGAAGGAGACCATTCAGTAGTCTGCTACATATTAGTCAGGTTCAGTGTTAGAAACAGAAACCACTCCTTAGCCAGAAAGGAGTTTAATACAGAGAAATTTGTTGTTAGTTCTAACTCATAGTGATTCTGTATAGGGTTTCCAAACAGTGGAAAACTGGTCAACTGATGTATGGATAAATAAACTGCGATATACACATACCATTTATTCAGCCCTAAAGAGAAATAAAGTCCTGATACATACTATACATGGATGAGCCTTGAAAACTCATTATGCTGGGGTAAAATAAGTCAGTCACAAAGGGACAAATATTGTACGACTCCACGGAGCACTAGTAGCGTAGTGGTTATGAATCGGGCTACTAACCTTAGGGTCAGCAGTTTGAAACTATCAGCTGTTCTGTGGAAGAAAGATGAGGCTTTCTACTCCTATAAAGATTTACAGCCTCAGAAACCCTGTACAGGGTCGCTAGGAGTTGGAACCGACTCCATGGCAAATAACCACCACCACCACCACTTAGATGAAATAACTAGGACAGACAAGTACATAGAAGTCAGTGCTTATTAGTAATTTCTAGAATGATGAAACATTTTAAACATACAGGTTAATGTAGTTAATGTCACTGAATTGTATACTTAACAGTGATTAAAGTGGGAACATTTTTGTTATACATATTGGTTTTTTACCATAATAATTTTTTTAAAAAACATGGGAAGAAAAAAAAATCTGCAGCTGCCAAACCACCTCTTGACACGTGTTAACCTGACAATAGATATGCTGCAACATGGAGCCCAGTTGCTTCCTCTGCTACAACTGCTTCTTAGCACAAACCTGGAAACGAGATGCTGAAACGAGGCTGCAGAAAACCCCGCAACTCCATGATCTTGTATGCCAGCAGGAAATAGAAAACGTCAGCAGGAAGATGGAGCCTATCAGCCAGATGTTAGGTGAATATGATAATTGACCCAACATTCGCTTTTTACACAAATTTGATCCCTGGTGTGGTTTTTCACCTGAAGAACTGTAGTTTTTTCACTTTTTAGTCTTGGCAATACGGAATGCATGTGAGAAGGTGGAAAAGGATACTACATTCCAACCAAGCATAGCTTATAAAATAAGAACATTTAATTGTAACGTATAAAAGGTATATATGAAAGTAAACATTCCCTAAATGACTTCTTTTTGGATATACCAAGTAAGTACTAAGTTCCAACATATCGCCATCTACTTCTAGCCTTCTTTTGCTTCAACAGGCATTGATTTTAAGGGCAAAAAAACTAAGTAGAAAAACAAGCAGGTTTCAATGAAGACAAATTATTAAAAACATTTTTTTAAATAATGTTAGCAAGGGCAAAAGGGGGAAATTGTTGAAGTTCTTTGTTTAATATAAAGAAAGAAGATATTTGAGTATGATTGCTTATTAGATTTAATTAGTTCAATATCAATTAGTCTAGTTCTGTTAACTTTTCTAGTTATATAGTTTATGTGTTTTTATTATAGGCATCCAACTGCCATACAAGTTCAGACCAGTGGAAGAAAAGAGCAGCAAAAATTGAATTGAATGAAACCCAAAAGCAAGAAATTAAAGAGGCCTTTGATTTATTCGATGTTGATGGGTCTGGAACCATAGATGTGAAAGAACTGAAGGTTCTGAAATGATTTCTAATTCTAAAACATTTTAAAAAACATTCTTAATTGTGGCAATCTTTAAATTTTTACGTAGAAATAATTTTTTTAAAGTTTGATGTAAAGCCTCTCTCCACTGTATACACTTGCCTTGAAAATTGTTAAGCTTTTTAATTTTGTCTTGTAAATGAGGAAAATTTGTCCAAGTAAGCCAAAGCCTTGGGTGGGATGGGACATAACCCAAACACATTGATGTCAAAACAGTTTTAACAGTGACCCTATTGGACAAAGTAGAACTGCCCCATAGGGTTTCTAAGATTATAAATCTTTACAAAAGCAAACTGCTACATCTTTCTCACAAGAGACAGCTGGTAGCTTCCAACTGTCATCCTTTTGGCTGTCAGCTGAGTGTTTACCACTGTGCCTCCAGGGCTTTTCCCCCTGTGGCACAGAGAACTTTAACCTAGGTTTGCTGACCATTTTTGTAGGTGTATGAAATTCTGGTAGTGGAGTAGTTATGAGCTGGGTTGCTAACCTCAAGCTCAGCAGTTCAAAACTTCCAGCCATTCTCCAGGAGAAAGATGAGGCTTTCTGCTCTCATAAAGATTTATAGCCGTGGAAACCCTATGCAGTATCGCTATGGGTCAGAACTGACTGCGCAGCACATCAACGCCACCACCACCACCATGGTTAAAAAAAAAGGGAGAAGATAGGAATTGATAATTTAGAAGTCAGGAATGAGACCTTAGCATATCGTAATTTATTTGCTTCTTATTCCAGATTGCAATGCAGGCCCTAGGATTTGAACCAAAGAAAGAAGAAATTAAAAAAATGATAGCTGAAATTGACAAAAAAGAAATAGGAACCATTGGTTTTGAAGATTTTTTTGCCATAATGAGTGTGAAAATGGTACAGTAGTGATTTTTCTTTTCAAAATGGGATGGAGCTATCATATGTTTAATAAAGGACAGACAGATTGGAACAGGGTATTTAATGATGGGTAGGCTAGATAGAATTAGCATGATTAAAGATGAGAACAGATGTTTTCAGAAGGCAATGAGAAGACTTTACAGTCTAGAGAAGAGGCATTTTGTTAGGAAATAATGAGGATATGTGTTAGGTAAGAGAAAACGGGGTCATAATTGAAGGCTTGAACTCAGCAAACATTTATTGAGCACGTATTTTGGGCAGTCACTGATTTGTAATTGTGGAAATAAAGTGCTGAATGAGATAGCAAGCTCCCTATTGTCGTGGAGCGTATACTTTTGGCGATGGATCTGAATTACTAGGGCTAGTAAGTCTTCAGCGTCTTTACCATACTGAGCTGCTTTCACTTCAGTATACCCTGAGTTTAGTTATCTTGAGGGCAGATGTGAAGGCAGTAGACCAATTGTGAAAAATCAGAGCAACGATAACCTTTGTCATATCTGGCATGTTGCTTTGCTGACACCACAAAAATCTAATAAGTCTAGCTTAATAGAATAAATAAAGACTCACGATACTTAGTTTCTGTTTTTGAAAACAGAGTGAAAAAGATGAAAAAGAAGAAATACTGAAGGCCTTCAAATTATTTGATGATGATGATACAGGAAGCATAACACTAAGCAATATCAAGAGGGTTGCTAAGGAACTAGGGGAAAATTTAACGGATGATGAACTTCAGGTAAGTTTACTTTTTCATCTGTAATATGCAACTATATATATGTGAGTTATAATTATATTCTTTGCTGTGCTTATAAATAAATTTAAAATAAAATTTGATTATAAGTATGCATTTGGATATTTATATCATTATTCCTTTCTAACAGAGTTCATATATTTACATTTTATTTTATAGGAAATGCTTGATGAAGCTGATCGTGATGGGGATGGAGAAATAAATGAGGAGGAATTTTTGACAATGATGAAGAAGACCACTCTTTATTAATACTGTTTCTTTGTTCCACTTGGGGAGGTTATTAACAAATTTGTATTTGTTCAACAGTTGTGCAATTTGATATCTGAATGTATTCATTTTCAATTTTTAGTTTATATGTAACAAATTGATCTCTTAATATCTAACCTATATGGCAAGTGACATGTTTCTTATATATTGTTAATCTTTACTGTCAAGAAACAAAGAAAATGGGATTACTTAATTATGAACCCAAGAACACTATTAATTTCAACTGCTATTTTTAAAGCCTTAGGTTCTAAAGACTTAGACTTTTTTTAAGTTTAATGAACTTGGCCCCACATTTTAAATAAATTAGGCAAACATATCATTACTTTCCCTATTATTTTCCTTTTATGCAACTCTAGAAAATCTGAGGAGTATTGACTTTTTATTATCAGTTATTAGGTATGGAAAGTATTAAAACTGGCAACTTTGTTTTTTCTAATTTTCTTATAGCTATAAAACATTCAAAGCAACATTTGTATTATCCTTATGTCGCTGTGAGTTTGACCTGTAGAGGAAGAAAGTCATTGTTGGGTACCATTGAGTCAGTTCTGACTCATAGCAACTTTAGGAATGATAGAACACTGCCCAGACCTGGACTTCAACACAATTGTCCATATGTTTGATCCCATTGTTGCTGCCACTATGTCAATCAATCTTGTTGGGGGTCTTCCTCTTTTTAGCTGACCCTCCAATTTTCCAAGTGTGATATCTGTTTACATGACCTCTCCTGACATAATGTCCAAAGCATGTGAGACAAAGTATGGGCATCCTTATTCTTTAAGGAACATTTTGACTGTACTTCTTCCAAGACAGATTTGTTTCCATATTCTTAGCCAACACCATAATTCAAATGCATCGATTGTTCTACAATGTTTCTTATTCGTTGTCCAAATTGCAATTGCATATGAGGCAGTTGAAATACCATGGCTTGGGTCAGATGCACCTTAGTCCTCAAACTGACATCTTTGCTCTTGAACACTTTTACGAGGTCTATGTACAGATTCCTCATGTTCCTCAGACTGAACTTGCATATGAACAAGGTGGTCTGTTTCAATCTGCTTGTGACCTTGCTTGACTATGATAATGAGCTTCTCTATCATCTCTTCTCACAAATGTAGTCAGTTTGATTCCTCTGTATGCTATCTAGTGGGATCCACATGTATAGTTACCATTTATTGGTTGTTGAAAAAGTAGTGACAATGAATACGTTGTTGGTCTTGCAAAATTCTTTCATATAATCTCCAGCATCATTTCTATCACCAAGGTCAGATTTTCCAACTACTGATACTTTCTTGATTCCAACTTTTACATTCTAATTACCAGTAGCTATCAATGCATCTTGATTTATAGTTTATCAATTTCAGACTGAAGAAATTGGTAGGATTCTTGAATTTCATCACTGGCTTTAGTGGTTGGTGCATAAATTTGAATAAGAGTGGTATTCCTTGTAGGTGTATGGGTATTGTCCTATAACAGACAGCATTGTGCTTTAAGAAAGATCTTGAAATGTTCTTTTTAACAAAGAATAAGATGCTATTCCTCTTCAGTTTGTTATTTGCCACTGCAGTAAGTAGCATGATTGTCCAATTCAACATGGCCAGTTTGAATTAATTTCAGCTTACTACCACCACTCATTTGTCAGTTTGTCATACTGTGGGGGCTTGTGAGTTGCTGTGATTCTGAAATCGATGCCACTGGTATTTTAAATATCAGCAGGGTCACCCTTGGTGGACAGGATTCAGATGAGCTTCCAGATGAAGACAGACTAAGAAGGAGTGACAAACTACTTCCAAATATTTAGTCACTGAAAACCTTACGAATAGCAGAGAAATACTGTCAGACATAATCCCAGAAAATGAGCCCTTCAGGTTGGAAGGCACTCAAAATGCGACTGGAGAGGAGCTGCCTCCTCAAAGTA